TGTGTTTTGAAAGAAACCTGTGCTTCTGTTTTAAAAAAGCAAACAAACAAACAAACTTTGTGCAATTACACCCACAATTCTTAGCATGCACAAATAATGTTGCTGTTACATGCAAAAAGCAGGGGCAGGTTTATGCATCAGCCAAAGTAGTGCAAGATCAGAAACAAGCATGAGTGATGGAATCTATGGTGGATGGAACCTGCTGATCTGCCCAACTATCTCTTGATGTTGTAGTCAGCTCCTGGTGAGCATGCTTGGGTCTTGTGAACTGGACCCAAGTGATCTGATTATGGGGCTGGAAAGGACCAAAAGGTGATCTAGTCCAAGCGCACCCTGTCTGCCCAGCAGCTCCTATCTAGGAACCATTTCATGGCATCAATCCACAGGGTGACACAGAGCAAACAGCAGCCCTGCACTTTTATCATATGGGTCAAGGAACCTCCTGGAGTCAGGAAGACAAACAAGGGATATTCATTCATTAACTGTGGAAAGTGCCCTTTTCAGTTACTGAAGGGTTTCTAATGGATTGCTTGATTGATGAATCGGTTAAAAAAGTAAATGATCAACTGAAAATCTTCTAATGGGTTGACTGTTCTAATCATCGCCAAAGATGGCCAAGTCATTGTAATCAGCAGAGGCAAATGAGCCAGTGTAGCAGAGTAGAGGGTATTTAATTTGGATTGCAAAAGAAAAGCCGCCACACACTGTTCAAAGAAAAGGCCAACTTTCGAGTTTTCTTCTTCTATTCCTTAGTCCGGTACACAACAGAACAACAGTGAATGCCTCAAAAATAAGCAAGGGAGCCTGGGCCCCTAATTCACATCCACACTGATTGTAAGAACATGGGAACCATCTAGTCCAGCCTCCTGTTCTCACAGTGGCCGACCAGATGCCTCTTCTGGGAAACCCACAAGCAGGATCTGAGCACAAGAACCCTCCCCTTGCCTGTGCTTTCCAGCAACTGGTGTTCAGAAACATTGCTGCGTCCAACTGTGGAGGCAGAGCAGAGCCATCAGGGCTAGTGGCCATCAATAGCCCTCTCCTTCTTGAATTTGTCTAATCCTCTTTTAAAGCCATCCAAGTAGGTGGCCATCAGTGCCTCATATGGGAGTGAGTTTAGGTCCTTCAAGAAGCTCAGAGCAGTAAAGGCTAGTCTATTGGGGCAAAAGTGTACCCTACCCACAAGCATCAGTCTGTCCTCAGTGAGTTCACACCTACATGCTTTCTTACCTGCAACCAGTCCAGTAGTGATACTACCTATCAGCTTCCTCTTCCTTACTTCAGTGTTGGTTTTGCAACCTTAGTGGGGAAGAAGGGGCTGAGGAGGGTGGGGACAAGCTGTCAAGTGTCATGGTGATGGTTGTGGGGATTTCTGCACCAAACCACACATTTGTCAGGTTGCTGTGCACCACAGTCTGAATCCATTGCACAAACAGTGCCTCCTAATACATTGGCATCCGTTTCTTGTATATCTACAAGTCATGATGCCTATGGGCTTTTCTTGCTATCAGCAGACTTGCTTGCCTTGACCAATGTGCCAGCCTACTTTCCGCGGGACTTGGAATCTGTAGATTTGCCTTTTGGCAAAATGAAACTTGGAAGCAACCTCAACACATGTGTCAAAGTTGTTCGGTTCACTAGATGTGTTCCTCACTTCCCACAGCCAAAGGAGTCCTGAAGCGACCTGCAAAAATAAAATTAAAAACGGGAATCAGATCATAACTAAATGCTTGTTAAAATGATGTGAGTGGTGCATTTTGTGTTGATGGAAGATTTTTAAGCCAGCACAACTTTCTCATTCTGATCTGAGCACGTTGCAGAACGTCAGCTGAATCTGTCCTCCCTTGTAGCTTTATACAATCTGCACACACAAATTCTTCAGCTCTGGACTGCATCTGGCCACCATCTGGTGTGTGAGATGCTCCAAACGGAGACAAGAGATGGAGCATTTCACAGCAGATCTTCCAAGCAGCCTTTTTAGAAATCCCTGCAAGTATCCAATGTTGGTCTGAAAGCCCAGCAGCCCACCCCTCCCTCCACTGCAGCGTGCCACCTTGTCCCCATCAATGTGTTCCCCTGAATATTCAGCGTGTCTGCTTCCTTCCACAGCCTAGTGCTGAGACAAGGACAGAATAGAGAGATGTCTGAGGAACTGGAATCCTCAGAATCCCAGTGGAAACTGGCTTAGGGTGCAATCTCCCATACAGATGCATGGACTGAGACAGACTTGTCCTCCAGATCTTGCAAATTTCTCCAAACTTTTGCTCAAAAGAGGCACATAAAGTTTTGTAAAATGCAAATGTTAAGACAAAATAAGTTTTGACTTGCATACGAGATAAAATACACAACATACATGTTAGAATTCCTGCTCCATGGTTGCAGTCATGGGATTTTTGTCTATCACATGGTGTATGTTTTGACTCCACAGAGTGGGAAGTGACGGAGGCAGGACGTTTGTGTTACTGTGTTCCGTGAAGTGGGACTATTGTCCTTTGTTCTTTTTCTCTTTGCTGTCTGATGCTAGAGAGAGAAGAAGCCATGTTGCAGTGCTCCATGTGTATTTATATGTAAATAAAGTAGATTAGCCAAAATGGTGAGTTACTGAGGTCTGTTACGTAAGCTGTGAAAACTCTGCGGATCCCTAAGTGTGCCAATGTCTGTTGGCATTGGTCGCTGTGATGTTCAGGCAGAAGAAAGCTTTTGAAGCTCCCGAACAAATGACCAGGAGGGAGGAAACATGCCAGTCGGGCATGTGTCTCTGCCAGGGTCCTACTCAAGAGTAGGACAAGCTTCTGACACTTAAATGTAAGCAGAGGAAAGGCAAGTGTGAATGAGCCCTTGGATGACTTTCAAAGTGGCTTAGACAAGCTCATTGAGGAGCGGGCTAACCTTGATGCCAAGCTCTGCTTCTGAATACCAATTGCTGGAAACCAGGGAAAAGAAAGTGCTTTTGTGCCCAGGTTCTGCTTGTTGGTTGACTATTGGGCGTGCTTAGTGGGACTGACAGGGGCTGGAGTCCCACAGGTAAAAGGTAAAGGAAAAGGAAAAGGACTCCTGGACAGTTAAGTCCAGTCAAAGGCAACTATGGGGTTGCTGCGCTCATCTCGCTTTCAGGCCAAGGGAGCTGGCGTTTGTCCACAGACAGCTTTCCGGGTCATGTGGCCAGCATGTCTGAACCTCTTCTGGTGCAATGGGACACCATGACGGACACCAGAGCACACGGAAATGCCGTTTACCTTCCCGCCACAGCGGTACCTATTTATCTACTTGCACTGCCATGCTTTCAAACTGCTAGGTTGGCAAGAGCTGGGACAGAGCTCACCCCGTCGTGCAGATTGGAACTTCTAACCTTTCAATCGGCAAGCCCAAGAGGCTCAGTGGTTTAGACCATAGTGCCACCCGTGTCCCACAACATCCAGAGGGCCACCACATTGGCTGCATGTGGCATAACCAACTCTCACAGAGGCTCAAAAGCTTTTCTGACAGCTCTCCTCCTCTGGATGACCCTCTCCCCTGAGAGGTTCCTTCTCTTGGTCTAGCCTTTGCCTCATGGCTGCTTCCTGTAGTCCTTTGGCATCTTAATATGTACACTTTATTGTGATCAGAAACCCTGATAATGCAAGGAGGCTTCTAACTGTCCTCAGATAAACATGCTGAGAAGCTCCCTTCAGACTTCTCATTGCAGGAAGGTTGGGGCAGAGGGGGGCACCCAGTCTACACTGAGAGGGGGGGCAAGGGGGCAGTTTAAGCCTGAAGAGGACTATATAGGTTTCTGTAATTCACCTTCATATCATTTTCAGCGGTAGAAAGATGGGTTTTCTGGTAATAGCAGCATTACACACAGAAACACATCTGGTTGTCCCCTTGCCAGCTGCAAGAAAGGAATTGGTGGGTCTGGGGAAAAACTGTTGTAAGCACAATTAGCCTTCTAATTAACAAAAATTCATAATGAGCACTCGCAAGTCAAATGGGTGTTTTGTACATGAGATAGATGGGACACATCCGCCATTCAAAAATGAATATTTATTTCGTATGAAATTTTAATTTTTCAGCATAATGAAAGGCTAATTCATTATGAATTAGAGATGAAAACATTTCAGGACTTTGGTGACAGTAAATGAGGCCAAGACAAGCGCCTTGCCAATTAGCCATGGAAGACAGATTGGCTGAGCCTACTCATCCATTTCCGAAACAGAATCTAAGGCAAACACGTTTGCAACATGCATTCACTAACACTAACCGGGTTTGAAGCCAAGAATGTATTACTAATCACTTCCTCATAGAAATGCTATTTGCTATGCAATCTCTAGTGTGTTCACCCTGGAAAACATGTAGTGGTTATTCCATTTTACAGACATGGAAGTAAAACTGGGAGAAAATGATTTGTCCAAGACCACACAATGAGCGCAGGAGACCTAACAGAACCTACTGGTCTTGTGTCCCAAGCAGAAGTAATGTAATGCAAAACAACTGTTGTTAAGACATTTCATTCGGAATCTGCTAGACAGAGCCAAACAGGGGTTGATGACAGGTGGGTGTTCTGCCCCCCTAACATAAATCTTGACTAGGCAGTCAAGATTTATGGGGAATTGATTTATTTTGACCACAAGTGCTCAGAAAAATCTGTCAAAATCTTTCTACAATTTCCACTTTTAGTTAAGTATTTTTGTTTATTTACTTGATTTAGGAGGGGCAGCTGCCCCCCCCCGGCTCTGCTCATGGTCGCACCCCCATTGAATAGGCACTTGTTGCCTTTCCAGCACTGGCTTTTTAATCCATGTTCACACAATACTATCCAAAATGCATATTTACTGTAGTGTGTACTTGGTTATAAAATGCTGCTGTTTGACGTCGTTTCTCAGACCAGCTTCACACTGACTCAAGTCCTTAAGACATTCCTGATTCATCTCTAGCCAATATGTGAAAACCTTTGCAGAGGGTAAATATGCCCCCATCCCATCAATGCCACCTAGTGCAGCCATCCCCAAACTCAGCCCTCCAGATGTTTTGGGACTACAATTCCCATCATCCCTGACCACTGGTCCTGTTAGCTAGGGGTGATGGGAGTTGAAGTCCCAAAACATCTGGAGGCCAGAGTTTGGGGGTGCCTGACCTAGAGTGTTCATAGATAGAAAGGTAATGAAGCCATGCTGATGTGAACAGCTGGAAGTAGGGGAAGAGCTGTGAACCCCAAACACAGGGGTAGCACTTCACTGAACTCTAAGGCAATACAGTGGTACCTCAGGTTAAGTACTTAATTCGTTCTGGATGTCTGTTCTTAACCTGAAACTGTTCTTAACCTGAAGCACCACTTTAGCTAATGGGGCCTCCTGCTGCTGCCGCGCCACCAGAGCACGATTTCTGTTCTCATCCTGAAGCAAAGTTCTTTACCCGAGGTAATATTTCTGGGTTAGCGGAGTCTGTAACCTGAAGCATATGTAACTTGAGGTACCACTGTAATGTAAACACACCCACAGTTGGACTCCAACTCCCATCATCCCTGATCATCAGCCATGCTAGTTTGCCTGGGGCTGATGGGAGTCAGAGCCCAACAATATCTCAAGGGCACCATGATGACAAAACTAGCCCCTTGTAGCTGTGCTTTCCATGTCAGTTCCATGTGATTCCTGGCTTGTTGTTCTCTGTTGTTCTCTGCTTGATGGTGCAAGGAATCCAAAGGCCTTGTCCAAAATCTGCAACATGGAGATCTTCTGAGTTGCTCCCCCAGGAGCTGGCCCGCCCTTCAGTTCCTTCATCATCTTATTTGTATTCCACCTTTCCATATAAAGAATCATTCTCAAAATTACTTGCAACAAAGAAAGCAGGAATGCATTTCAAAATCAAACTTCCCTCCAGCCCCGGTTTTAATAAACGCATGTCTTCTATTTTATTTTCCTTTTTTTCGTAGGTCACTTTGAGTTGCCCACGGCGAAAGAAAATGATTAATAAATTTAACAATAATTTAACAATAACAATAATTGTAAGAACACTTGCATAACAATATAGTGCAACATAACAGCATACCCAAAAAGCCCCAATATTTCAGTACGGTACTATAAATATAGCAAGATTACATTAACATTACACCTACCAGCAATAGCAGAAATAACAAGGGAGCTTGACAGCGCATCCTTTCCAAAGGGCAATTCATGTAAAATGCAGGCATCAGAAAGAGCGCGGAGTGAATATGTATTTTAAGACACCAAGCAAAAAGGTATTTGAACCACCTGAAACAAGAAACAACCAAGGCTGTTAGTCCAATCACACAATGTGCACATTTCCAGTGATGGGGGCTTTGATGCTGGGAAAGCATCAGCAGAGAATATAACCTGTTTTCTGCAGGAGAACAAATGGAAACAATGTAGTGGAAACACCAGTAGGTTGTAATACCTAAATCAAGAAGAAGGAAACATTTCTTAATCAACTGCAGCCATGTGGATTGGAAATGGAAATGAAAAAGATAAAATCCCACCTGCCTTAATGTTAAGCTCTCAGTAATTCAGGTACGGAAAAAGGATCTTCCATGTTCTTCTATTGCTCCCACATCCCAAAAACCCACAGGCTCATTCTGCAGCTTTTCTTTGTGGTCCTTGCATAAACCCTCTTTTCAGAACAAGCCATTTACAAACATGCACAGTATTCTAATCCAGCGCAGATTTAAAATTTTACAAATTTTCAAAGATGTTCAGGTTCAGGTGTTCAGATTCAGTTGTCAGGAGTCCAGACTGCTCACCGCTTGACCATTGCTCTCCATCCTTTGTTCAAGCCTTTTGTGGTTTCTTAGACTTTGATACCACACACTTCTTCATGGTATACGTGCAAAATGTTCTATTAAGCCATAAGGCTAGAAACTGGGCTGGGCTTTTCTTTGTTCTTTTAAGTTTTAAAATTCTGTTTTATTGTTAACATGAGATGTGGTGCAGAATGTAGTACTAACTGCTACACTTAACTCCCTGAGAAATTGAGTTTTCTTTTCTAAGTTATTATCTCTAGAGGTTAGGACTTGCTTTTCTCAACGACTAGCAAAACTAGCTGAAAGTATGGTTAAATAGTCAAATTGCAAAATAAACTGCAAGATGATAAATTCATCAGCAATCTGTATAATTTGCAAAGGTCACAGAGGCACCATTTCTTAATGTAGAATGTGGAATGCCAAAGTGAAGGTTGTTTATTATTTCTCTTGTGCACGGCCTGTAGATCAGTGCAGCTCCTCCACCCATCTTGCTCTTGGAATCCGCCAAACTGCCATGGATTTGCCGGTTTGTTTCTCCTCATATATTCTTTTTTCAACAATCGCTGCGGCTGCCTTGGCAACCAGAGACCGAAACTGACAAAACACCGATCAGTCTATTTCCATCGTCCCAGCTGCAATAAATCTAAACTGTGACATAAATTAAATTAAACTTTCAAAATACTTTTAGTTTTATTGGTGGAAAAGGGGTTTTAAAGTCTCCCCCGCCCTCCCAGTTCTAGTAGCAAACACACACACTCACTTTAAAAGATCAAAATAAATGTGCTATTTGACAATGGCACATCAGCTGCTGGCTGATTTATGAGAAAGTCACAAACAGCCCCTTCTATTTCCCCACATTTAATTTGAATTTAGTACATGTTACCTCCAGTTTAATAACTCGCTGCTCTCTTGCTAGCCACAGGCTGCCAGTATTAGCATTGTGGACAATGGAGCCCCAAAGGCCCTGCAGGGGAAACTTGCTGGCTTCTGGGGAGATATAAATAATCTGAAAATCTTATCAGTTAGTCTTCACATGTAGAGCATCTCAGTGTAATGGCCTGGGACTCGGAACCAGAGGAGACTCAGTCTGCACCAGATCCTTTGCCTCAGGCATCATCTGAACCAAGTCTGGGGCCTGATCCTAAAGAGTCCCAGTCTGCACAGGTTCCCCTGCAACAAACACCAGCTGGGCCGAGCCTGGAGCCTGGGCCTGCCCTGGCTCCAGATGCAGAGATTACCTCATTGCCGTCAGCTGGGCTATCAATTACAGCTGCTCTACTACCGGTTTGGTCAGGGGAGGCTGAGGCGACCCCTGGGTCTAGTAACCCACTGACGTCTCCCAAGCTGCAAAGACTAAGGTCTGAGAGAAGGAGAGACCTGAGTACTCAGAGGAGGAGTGCTCACCTTCGGGCGAAACAGGGAGGTGAGTCAGTGGGGGATCAGGACCAGCCGCTACCCCAACAAAGATAAAAGGCTGTTGGACCCCGCCCCAGGTTGCGGGAGCAACATTGCTGTATGTTAGATCCTGTACCTGTCTTTGCCTGGTTTCCTGCCTTGTGTCCTGCCTTGGCCCTGTCGGACTGACTCCTAGCGGAACCTGGACTGCGTTTCACAGGTTACCCCAGGGCCCAGCACACTCAGAGCTGCTCCCTCCCATTCTTCAGTGCCATCATAATCATCCATATGAGTTCCAGGATGTTTGTTTGATCAACCCCTCATAATGAGTGAGATACAACGGGACCACCAAGTGTGGCCATGCCAGGCACCAGAGCTGGGCTGTGGATGGGCTGCTCCCCAGCCTCAGCTGAAGGTTGGCCAAGGCAAGAAGAGGCAGCCACCACTCTTCCAGCATTGACACCAGGCCTGGTCAATGCAAAGACTTCATATAGTCTCCCCTGGGTTGATTATGACCATGCCTCCTCCTTCCAAAACCAAAGAGAGCTTTGACCCAAACCAATGGATTCAAGTGACAAGAAACAGCATTCTGATTAAACATTGGGAATAACTTCCTGATGATATGAGCTGTTTGGCAGTGGAATGGACTACCTCAGAAGGAGGTGGGTACTTGCAGAGGATTTGGTGAGGTAACCTTGGGATCCCCTTCCAACTGTACAGTTCTATGTTTCTATTATTCACTGGAGGTTTTTAAACCAAGGATGGATGACCATCAGCTTTGGAGCGAGACAGAAACCAAACTGTGGTGTCACAGGCAAGAGAGGTTATGAGCTGAAGTGTCAAACCAAGGGGAAGGGAAGGGGGTATCTGCATCCCAAAGGGCAGCGGAAGGGTGAGCTTAAAGTTCAGGCAGAATTCTGTGAGATGCAACCCATGGTCAAAGAGGAAGTTTCTAGGCCTGCTGAGTGACCTACAGAGCAAGCGAGGTTTGACTGATGGAAGAGAAGGGGAGGAGAAGCTGTGATTTCTGTGTTGCAGGGCATTGCATCAGATGACCTTTAAGGTCCCTTCCAACTTTACAGTTCTATGATTCTATGATTTAGTGGAGGCTTTTAAGCAGGGATTCTTTAGCTGCGATTCTTGCAGTCCAGGTGGTTCTGTAGAGTAGAGCACAGCCATCATGGCTAATGGCCTTCTCCTCCATGAATTTGTCTGATCCTCTTCGAAAGCCATCCAGGTCGGTGGCCATCTCTGCCTCCGGTGGGCGCAAGTTCCATATTTTATGCACTGCACTAGGAAGGACTTTCTTTCCTCTGTCCTGAATCTTCCAACATTCATCTTCCCTGGACCCCCATGAGTTCTAGTGCTATGAGAGAGGAAGAAAAACTTTTCTCTGTGCACTTCTTCCACAGCCCCCGGTTTGGCCTGAAAGTCTTGCTCTCACCCATCCTAGATATTCCTGGGGGCCCTGCAGCTGGAGACAGCTGAGCCTTCATTGAAAGGTGGCCAAAGTTTATGCTGCTGAGAGTTGTCTCTGCTGAGCAGACTGGCAGGAAATCAATCCCAAGATATAGAAGCATCCTCTCTTTCATCCTTTTTTATGATTGTTTTAAGGTGAATTATTAAAGGTCATGGAGGGTCAAGTGCACAATGTAATAAAGTTGGAAATAGCTGCCTCTATCAACAGCTGAGAAAGTAATACCCTGTTTATTCTCCGCTACCATAGCGAGATTCTGGTCATCTCGTTTTGAGAAATGGACCTTGTGGCATGTAGAAGGAGATTAGGGATTGTTGCAGCTTGATCAGTGGCAATGATCTAACAGTATGACTTGACCCTCTAAAAATACCTAAGAAATCATAGAATCGTAGAGTTGGAAAGGACTTCACCTAGTCCAACCCCCTGCAATGTAGGAAAAACAGCTAAAGAATCCCTGACAGATGGACATCCAACCTTTGTT